ACGGAAGCAGTTCCGGGCGGATGACGTATGAGGTCGGCTTTGTGCATGCACCACTCAGAAGTGAAGCACGCAGAAGAGAAGGGGCGAGATCAAAACAAAACAACTGTCACTTATTAGAAGTACAAAACGAGGATTTGTAAAGAAGAATGTCGGAGGATTTCGATATCATCCAAGAGGAGACTGGTTTTACTTTGCTAAAGTAAGGAAACTTTGCTTCCTTTGCTCCTGTTAACAAACGTTGGTTTTCACGAGACTCACCGGCGCATGCGCAACGCTGACCTCATACGTCATTAGCCCGGAGCTGCTTCCGTGTACAACTGTTGGGAGCAAGCTACATTAAAGTGATTGTTTTGAATATGGATATTTTCCTTACAAAAACGCATCGATTCGCTACAGGAGGCCTTTGTTCACCCCCCAGAGCCGTGTGAGACACTTTTTTTTCTTTTTTTTTTTTAATGGATGGGTGCTTTTTATTTAACTTTTTTTTTGGACTGATGCATGCAACACCCGCTGAGTGGCATTAAACAGCTTGAAAGATCAAAGACAATTTTGAATATAACTCCGACTGGATTTGTCTGAAAGAAGAAAGTCATATACACTTAGGATGACTTGAGGGTGAGTAATTTATGGGCTAATTTTCATTTTTGGGTGAACTAACCTTTTAAAGCCGTTTAGATGCTCTTAAGAAATAGCAGACCTGTTTTTAGGTTTATAATTTTTAAAGAAACATCGATTTAGGCCATGTTCACAGTGCAGCTAAAGACAGTTGTCAGTGCTTCAAACCAGTGTATCTTATTATAAAAGTATTATTTATATACCAATAGTTTATTATTAGTATTTCAAATAAGCTTTTATGTTTTCAGTTTTTTTTCTTCTAGTAATTTTATGTGCTTTTCTCACTCTTTTTCATTTTTTTTTATTTCCAGTTAGTATTTTTAGTGCACCAAACATTTCTAATTTTCATAAAGTTTTTCATCTAATATTTATTTCAGCTTTTATTTCAATTAACCAAATGTGTTTTTTTTAAATAGCTTTATTTAATGATAACCCTGCTTTAAACCAAACAACTTTTTGACAATTTAATACGGTTTTTAATTTCTAGTATTTATGGTGCACTTAAGAGTTTCCTTGTTAAAAATTTGAGCATTGACTAAAGGCTGTTTTGAGAGACTGCGTGGATGTAATCATGCTGTTTTTTCTTTAATGTCAATGCTCTTCCTTTCAGAAATTATTCTGATCTCCACAAAGATGATGAACAGATCAGGTATGGGTAGGGTTTTAACTGCAGTGCACTGAGTCTGTTTTCACAGGTGCTTTCATGTTGTGGTGGGACTGTATCATTTCCGGCACGCTAATGTGGGTGTGTGAATATTTGTGTCTCATATTTGTGAATATTTTTTGTCTCCGTTTTCTTCAGCGGAATTAAACAATGGCTTGAAAAAGGAAGTGTCCAGCAAAGATGTAGCAAGAATCTGGGTCAATGATGACATGAAAATGCGGAGCTTCTCACCTGTAAATGTAAGCTTATTTATTTGTATTTAAATGTGATGAGATATTCACTGAGGACTTTAGCTGTCATTTAAATTTTTTGGATTGTTTTTTATTTATTTGAATGTAGAAATTGCCAGGAATGAAGGAGGAAGAGGAACCAGAGGAAGAGGAAGAGGAGGAGCTGGGTCATGCGGAGACATATGCGGAATACATGCCGATGAAACGTATGTATAATCATGTTATCAGAGTGCTTAATTTAAGGGTTGTGCACAGCCAGTAATTTCATAGCTGTACATTAGATGTAAAAATACAGAATTATTATTAATATTAGTGCCAACTAAGCAGTTGTTTTCACTCTGTTTTTGGCAAGTTTGTAAAGTTGATCTTATCTCGTCTCTCAGTGAGAATTGGACTGCGGCACCCTGATCCTGTGGTGGAGACCAGCTCTCTGTCAAGTGTCAACCCGCCAGATGTGTGGTACAGACTTTCCATTCCAGAGGAGATTATAGATAGAGGCTGGTTATCTGCCCTACAGCTTGAGGCCATCACGTATGCTGCTCAGGTTTGGGCCTCTTTATATATTCTAACCTTTAAAATGATATTACCACTTAGGAATCAGATTAGTTCATTTATGCAAGTCAAATCATAACATACTATAATTTCTAAAATGGTGTACTGCAGTATTTCAGACCTGTCTCTTTCAATCGTGTCTCTTTGTACAGCAACATGAGACATTCCTACCAAATGGAGACAGAGCAGCGTACTTGATTGGAGACGGGGCCGGCGTTGGAAAGGGTAGAACTATTGCTGGAATCATATATGAAAATTATCTTCTTGGGAGGAAAAGATCCCTCTGGTAATCTCCTGTTTTCTTCCTTTTCAAAGCTGCTTTTTGGTGTGTAAATTGTACCATTATTCATGCCTTTTTTTCCACCACTGGTCTGTACAGGTTTAGTGTCTCAAATGACTTGAAATACGATGCAGAGAGGGACTTGAGAGACATCGGAGCAAAGAACATTCAGGTCTATTCGCTAAACAAGGTACATTAAGTGCTTCTTAGCCAACATGCGAGATGTTTGTGTATTTCGAGTAGAAAATAAAATTTTCTACATTTTCTCTCTTTCAGTTCAAATATGGAAAGATCTCATCGAAACACAATGGGAGTGTGAAAAAAGGTGTGATCTTTGCCACATACTCATCCTTGATTGGAGAGAGCCAGTCTGGGGGAAAGTACAAGACGAGATTCAAACAGTTACTACACTGGTGTGGAGATGACTTTGATGGTGTTGTATCCTTTCAAGTTAAAAGGAAGTAGTAGGAAGAAAGAAAGTCTGATATTGTCAATTTTATAACAAAATTCATACAATAAATGACGTTTTGACGCTCTTTGATGTGGCATTTCACCACTCAGTTCAAGAGGCAGTGTTTCAACTGTGAAAAGACATCAATAAAACAGGTTGTAAACAATGTCATGTAACATTACGTTAAGCCTAGGAAAAACATTCAATGTCCGCAGCTTGTTAGCTTAGAAAAAAAGTGACTCTATAGAGGAGCATTTTGCAAAATATACGCACTAAACTTTTCTTTTTAACTTAAACCTGTTGTCTTAATTACTTTATGACACGTAACTTATATTTAATGTGTTTGTCAATGAATCTCTCATGAAAACAAGTTATTACAGCCACCGTTTATATGTTTATATTTCGGGAGCAAGTTAATATGTCAAAAAGTTAATAAAAATGGCTTTATGGGCAATTTAAATGTTTATATACAACTATTTGGGTTGTATTTGTTGATTTATTAGACAGATGTTATTAATTGATTTTAAAAGAAAACATTTATTTTGGTTTATGGATTTGCAGACTAAATTAAAAGTTTAATTTAGGTTTTGGTTAAAAAAATCAAAAACCTTTCAGTTCGTCACTAGTTGAAAAAAACCCCCCAGAAGTCGATAAATTCACGATTCTCATTTCCACAATTTTGGCACTACATCAATCTGACATCCCTAGAAGAACATTCTGTGCTCTAGAGTGGAAAAACAAGCATGTTTCATTGCATATTGACTGAACCGCAGTAAAGCGCTTAACATGGTGTGATTGTATTCAGCTCTCTAGTAACTATGGTGATTGATTCCCTTGACTGAGTATCTCAGATCATATTTGATGAGTGTCACAAAGCCAAAAATGTTTGCCCTATTGGGTCATCCAAGCCCACAAAGACCGGGCTAGCGGTTTTAGAGCTGCAGAACAAGCTGCCAAAAGCTCGGGTTGTGTACGCAAGTGCTACAGGTATGTGACTGTGGATGTTGTATTTTGGCCAACATGGATGCATTCATGTTTCTTTTCAAATGCATTTATTTCAGTATTTTGCTACTTATACATCTTTTGTTTGATTTTGTGTAGGAGCATCCGAGCCCCGCAATATGGCCTACATGAATCGCCTTGGGATCTGGGGGGAAGGAACTCCTTTTAAGGAATTTACTAATTTTATCCAAGCTGTTGAAAGAAGGTGAGTCGATCATATAAGAGTTTGTGTCCATATGACATTGCTTTTTTTTTGTACCAGCATGCATCCTCTCAATATTGAATGCAACCCTTTTTTTGGTTGGCTTATTTTAGAGGTGTTGGTGCCATGGAGATTGTTGCCATGGATATGAAGCTGAGAGGAATGTACATTGCTCGACAGCTGAGCTTCACAGGCGTGACGTTTAAAATCGAAGAAGTTCCCTTAACGCTGGACTACATCAAGATGTACAACAAATCAGTTCGCTTGGTGCGTAAAATGCCAAAACTAAAACTGAACTGTTTTTTTGCCATTAGTATGTGTGATATTTAGAATCATTTAAATGATCATAGTCATTTATTTTGCAAACCTGCAGTGGGTAAGAGCAAGAGAGAAGTTCCAGCAAGCCGCTAACCTGATGGATGCAGAACAACGGATGAAAAAGTCCATGTGGGGTCAGTTCTGGTCCGCTCACCAGAGGTTCTTCAAGTACCTGTGCATTGCTTCCAAGGTTCGGAGAGTGGTGCAGCTGGCCAGAGAGGAGGTTAAAAATGGAAAGGTTAGATTGGACGTTCTCTTATTACAAAAAAAGCTTCCAGAAAGAAAGAATTGCAGTGATTTTGGTTGTGCTGATCTGTAACCTTCTCTGTAGTGTGTGGTGATTGGTCTTCAATCAACTGGAGAGGCTCGAACCCTTGAGGCCTTGGAGGAGGGAGGAGGCGAGCTCAATGACTTTGTCTCCACTGCAAAGTGAGTGTAATACATTTGCAGGAAATAGTTTTTATATTTTGAAAATTTTGTCCTAAAATGAAAATTTGTTGAAAATGTGCTCTCCCTCTGGCCATCCAAGATTTAGATGAGTTTGTTTGTTCATCTGAACGGATTTGGAGAAATTACAGCAAAAATTCACTGCAGAGCATCCATTGGTGAGCAAGTGGTGTAGTGCTAAATTTCTCCAAATCTGAACAAACTCAAACAAACTCATCATGGATGGCCTGAGGGCGAGTACATTTTCATTTTTAGGTGAACTATTCCTTAAAGAGAAATAATTCCTTTATAAATGCTTTAGTCTGTAGCAGATTATAATAATAGACAAAGTATCATTTTCAATGTTTTTTAACTGAAAATATCTATGCATGATTTTTTTTAAAGGGGTGTACTGCAGTCCCTGGTGGAGAAGCATTTTCCTGCACCAGACAGACAAAAACTCTTCAGTCTTTTAGGCATTGACCTAAGTGTGAAGGAAACACCTTCACCTTCAGAAACCTCCACTGAGCAGAAAGGCAAAAAGCGAAGAGGTACTGTTCACATGCACATGAAAACCACAATAGCGATGCCTTGTTATATTTAGCAGCAGTTTCTACCCTGAAACTATGAGCACATTTCAGTGGAGGAAGTAAAACCACTCTTGGGTTACTCAAATTGAAAATGAAGGCGAGTAATGACAGTTGGTGACTTGTGTTTCCAGGTCCAGAAACAAAGAAGCAAGTCAAGAAGGCTCGTAAATCTGGTGGTCTGTCTGGTACCAGCTCAGATGAGAGCAACTCTGACGATTCAGACAAAGATGTGGAAAGCGACGACAGCTTTAATTCGGTCAGCTCAGGGGAGGAGGATGAAGATGACTTCAACCCCTTTAAGGATGATTCCAGTGAGGATGAGGAAGATGGTGAGAATCTGTAGTAGTTGTTAACATTTGTAAATTATTGCACCCAAGATAGTCAAGCCTCATTTATGTAGCACTTTATACAGTGGACCCTTTTCACAGACTGCGATGACACAAAGTTATTAACATTGTAAATTATAACACTACACTTTGTTATATTACCTTAGCTTTAAATTACAGAAAACTAGTTAACTCTTCTGCACAAGTGTTTGTAATACAACAGCTGAGGGACCGATGGCAAATTTGATATCTTCATCTCTTCTGATCAATGTAATCAATCTCTCCATATTTTTCTCGTCTTTTGTAAAGTCTTAAACATTATTGTGGATTTTTTTTCTCCCCCCACATTGGGGCAAATGGGAATTAAAACATTTTATTTGTTGTAATTTCCATTCACCTCTAGAAGTTTACCCAGCTATGACGGCTTGCACTTCTGAGAACCGTGGAAATGAAAAAAGGGTCCATACAGATTGTTTCAAAGCAGTTTCACGTAAATAACCAGAACATTGTTAATGTTGCAGCTGAAAAGCAGCTCAACAGAAGACGATACTGTCATTATTTAATCAGCGTTGATTCAGTTCTGTTCAATAACTGTCAATGGTGCAAAGTTCAACAGATATAAAATGAATCCAGTTTAGCAATAAGCAGCTCTACAGAAGACAATAGTGTCATTTATTCAGCTTAATTCAGTTCAGTGTTGATACCATAATTAGAAATATTCAAATGCTGCCTATTGTTTGAAACTTAGATCCGTGGCTCATCAGAAAAGACACTAAAAAGAGCAAAGACAAGAGGAACAAGAAGAAGAAGAAGAAAAAGAGCATTGATCCAGACTCTATTCAAAGTGCCTTGTTAGCCTCCGGGCTTGGAACAACCAGACCCACTTTTACAACCCCCACCATCAAACCTTCAAACAACACGGTTGCTGTAGGTATGTGACCAGTGAGCTCTTCACAATGTTTCTAGATGTTTATCACAGATAATTGCAGCTGAAAGTTGTTGATTAAAGCAGTATAATGAAGAAGGTCATTGTCCAGTGAATAATAATACCAATAGTCATACTAAATACTTGTTCTTAAGCCAAAAGTGAGCCAGAGGAGAGCAGCTGTGTGACCAGTCAGGATGCTGTTGAAGATGCCCAGCGGATGAAGAGGGACCTGCTGGAGCAACTGGAGCAGCTGGCAGAGAATCTGCCGCCTAATACGCTCGATGAACTCATTGATGAGCTGGGAGGCCCTGATATTGTTGCAGAGGTTGGTCTGTTTGTAGAGATTATTTTTTAGGGCCGTCAGTTATTGTGTGTACACTGTATTTAATTAAAACAGTGCCATTTTTAATGTGCATGTCTTATGCAATGCAGATGACTGGCCGCAAGGGCAGGGTAGTCAGCAATGATGATGGCACCATTTCCTACGAGTCTCGATCAGAGCTTGACGTTCCAGTTGAAATCTTAAACCTCACGGAGAAGCAGAGGTTCATGGATGGTGATAAGGTATGCTGTTTTGGTTTTACCCACATCTGTGTAATGTTTTGATATTATGAACAGCGTTTAAACAGTTTTGTGTTCACCTTTGTAGAACATTGCAATTATCTCAGAGGCTGCCAGCTCTGGGATTTCACTTCAAGCCGACCGCAGAGTGAAGAACCAGAGGAGGAGGGTGCACATGACATTAGAGCTGCCCTGGAGTGCTGACAGAGCTATTCAGCAGTTTGGTGGGTACATAGTATTTTTTTATTTATTGTATCTTCATTATTATATATTTGTATGTGTATAATACTATAAAAAGTATATTTAGTTCTAAATATTTTGAGTTAAATTAATAGTCTAATTTTATTCATTTATTTGTGTTCTCAGTTCACTAACTCTTTGGATTCTTTGCAAACAGGTCGAACACACCGATCCAACCAGGTCACAGCACCTGAGTATGTGTTTCTCATCTCTGAACTTGCTGGAGAGCAACGATTCGCTTCGATTGTTGCCAAACGACTAGAAAGCCTGGTAAGTCTCTCATGCACATGCTGCATGCTAATGGGGGTCAGTTTTAATTTTGTAAGCCTAATTGTGTTTGTTTTTCTCAAATAGGGGGCGTTAACGCATGGAGACAGAAGGGCCACAGAGACGAGAGATCTCAGCCGATTTAACTTTGACAACAAAGTAAGATTAGATTACACACACCGTCAGTATTAAATAGGGTTGTTGCTAGACAATGTGCTGATGTCTTTTTCTCATCTACAGTACGGCAGAAACGCTCTGGAAATAGTTATGAAGTCTATTGTCAGTCTGGACTCTCCGTTAGTGTCTCCACCTGCTGACTTTGACGGGGATTTCTTTAAAGGTACAGTTGATTGTTTTTAATAATAGGAAAAGTGTCACTTGAAAACCAAAAAATGTAACGGTCTTAATGCTTTGAATTTTCTTTTTTTTTCAGAAATCCGCAATGGTTTAATTGGAGTGGGGCTGATAAATGTGGAGGATAGATCTGGTGTTCTCTTACTGGAAAAAGGTGAGCGATTTTCAATCAATTTTATTCTCAGCTTTTCTTTTCACATAATAATGTTCAGGGTACCTGCTGGTTTTTGAGAAGTCTTCAAATTTCTTAAATTCAGTTTGATCAAATTTAAGGCCATAGGAAGTCTTAAAGGATTAGTTCACTTCCAGAATAAAAATTTCCTGATCATTTACTCACCCCCATGTCATCCAAGATGTTCATGTCTTTCTGTCTTCAGTCGCAAAGAAATTAAGGTTTTTGCGGAAAACATTCCAGGATTTTTCTCCATATAATGGACTTCAATGGGTTGAGGGTCCAAATTGCAGTTTCAGTGCAGCTTCAAATGGCTCTACACGATCTCAGCTGAGGAATAAGGGTCTTATCTAGCAAAACGATCTGTCATTTTCTAAAAAAAAATGAAAATGTATATACTTTTTAACCACAAATGCACGTCTCCAGTAATCGGGCACTGTTTGACAGGCTTTTAAGTGTGCGTGCGCTTCAGGTGTACACGCTGAGAAAAAGCGTGTCACAACGAAATGTTTAAATGAAAAGTTTAACCGGCAAGGTTTTAAAGCACATGCAAATAATGTACTTTTGTGATTGTGAATAAGTTCAGTGTCCCGTGAGTGGAACTCTTCTGCTGAGTTAACATTTGATGTGAATGTATGTCACGTTGTACAGTATATTGAGACGGAGACACCAGAACTGCAACTGATAGAATGTGCGCTGTAGCACGATACTACGATATTTCTTTAAAAGCAGATCGTGGAGACATTTTAATTATCCACGATCATAAATCGTGTTATCGCACATCCCTAGGTATAACAAAAGGTTTAATTATCATTTTAAGGTCTAATTTTGGCCTAATGTGATTATTAAACTTCAAAAAGTGATGAATGGCTGCCCTGTCACAGGAAGGAAAGACTAAATACACATTAATTCATTATACAGGTTTTACTAGAATTGGCTCAATACATTATAAACATTGGTGTTGTATGAGCAAATTCTAATATCAGTTGATCTCTAATTCACAAGTATTTATGTATTAGTACATAATGTTTCAAAATATATGAAAATATTGAGTAAAACATGTCAAGTATTTTAAACTTTCAATTGAATATGTGCCCCAGCCTATTTGCCAAATGTTTTAATTTTCTCATGCCACATAACTTTTTTTTAAAATTTTTTTTTTTTTATAGACTACAACAACATTGGGAAGTTCTTGAACAGAATTCTTGGTATGGAGGTCCATCAACAAAATGCTCTCTTTCAGTATTTCTCCGACACTTTGAACGCTGTCATTCAAAAGTGAAGAAAGTTGATGTAAAGAAATTCTTGACACCAGGATATTCCACCTCAGGGCATGTGGAGCTCTATACAGTATGTATATCCATACTGAGAAAATAAAATCGGTGTCCATGTTTATGAGCACCATTGTGATTTACATTATTAGTGTTAATGTCATAATTGGTTAATGGCTAAAAAGAAGTTGTTTCTGTGTGTTCAGGTGAGTGTGGAACGGGGAATGTCATGGGAGGATGCCACCCACGTCTGGGCCGACCAGAATGGACCGGATGATGGCTTTTACGTACAGGTGAACAAGCTTTTTGTTTCCCCTTTCTGCACTCTACTTCCAATTCATTCAACGACTGAAACTAACAGCATTCTGTTTCATCTCAAGGTGCGGAATAACAAGAAAATCTCCATCCTGGTAAAGGAGGTCAATCCCAGAAAGAGACTCTTTATGGTGTACAGACCAAATATAGGAAAGCAAGTTAAACTGGAGACCTATGCAGACATCAAGAAGAGAAGTAAAAAGGTATTACATTACTGCAGTTTTATTAATGTTTTTGGTTTATCATTGGGGTCAACTTATAAATTTACCAGCCATTAATCTTTTTAATCAGCCGTATATATGTATTTTGCATTAGTTGTCAGTAATTTTATAGACAAACCACACTGGTTATTTAGGGTAAAATATCCAGGTTTTGCCTTTGTTTTCATAATTGCTGAAGGTAATGACTGAAGAATAGTTTGACCAATAGTGTGTAGACATTGTACATAATCTACCAATTGTGCTGTGGATCTACAGAGAACGCTGTAGCAATGCAGTTAATTGTACATATAATGCATGAGTACCTCAGAAAGACCTTCAATATGAAAACAGACAAAACCCAAATATTTTAGGCATTGTAGAAATCCTGACCAGGACATGTCCGGGAAAAAAAGAAGACGTATGGCCACGCTAGTTATTGTGGCATTTGATACAAGCAGCTTGTTCTAGCTAGTCTCAAGGTGAAACGGCACCTTAAAAATATCCCAAAATCAAAACATGCTTTTATGTCAGCTACTTTGAGATTCAGACATTGGCTCAATGTGCTGTGTGAGAGCGGCAGTTTTACTCCAATTACAGACTCCTCTACAGCAATCATGATCACAACATCATAAATTTGATCTTCAAATGTTTTACACCAGCATTGCATTTGCCACGTGACATTCAGGCTTCATAGCTGCATGTCTGAAGTCCTAAAAACGTCTGTATCGCTATAACGAGGGTATGCAGTTTAAACCAATTATGTCAACATTCAGAATCAAAAATTTGCCGTCTCATTTGGTGAATGTTAATTCTAGATCCTGCTGGCATCCTGCACACTCTTTCATGTAATTTCTTCAGCTCGTACAGTCTCTAATTCTTCTCATCTCAAAATAGGTCCTCTCTGATGATGCCAAGCAGCACTGGATTGATCAGTACAACTCCTCGGCTAACGTCTGCTCGCACGCGTACTGGTAGGTGCTTCTTTTAAGTCATTTCAGAAGTGAAAATAGAAACAAACATGCAGTTTCACTTTTGATTTGCACATTGTAAAGTCTGAAAATGTTGTCATGAGGAACACTCTTTTTGACAGGCGAGGGAACTGTAAGAAAGTGTCGGTGGGGCTACAGTGTGAGATCGGCCTGCGGTGCAGGATGTACTACGTCCTCTGTGGCTCCGTCCTCAGTGTGTGGACCAAAGTGGAGGGCGTACTGGCTTCAGTCAGCGGAGCCAACGTGAAGATTCAGATTGTACGTTTGAGAACAGAGGACGGGCAGAGAATTGTTGGTATGTTGTCAAACAGATACAAATAGAGACAAATATATTATTATTGAACAGTAGAGTGTACTTCTCAAAGTAAAAACAAACTTATTAACTATAAAGAATTGGCCATTTTTTTCCCCTCCATGTTATAATTTTAGTTGTAAACCACTGTTGTGCAGCACTGTTTGCCAAAAAAAGGACTTTTTCATTTTCATTTGATTTAAAATTTTAAAGGATTAATTAAATTGTTAATGTTTTATGCCTTCATTTGATTACAACCATTTAAATAATACATTTGTATTTGTATTAAATCATAAATCCAGAAAAATGAAAATGCACAACAGTTTTTTTTCCAGAATGTTAAAGTTTTAAAGTTTCAGTTGATTTGGACATGCTTTTTGTGATTATTAAAATTTAACTAAAAAACTTATTAACTATAAAGAATTGGCCATTTTTTTCCCCTCCATGTTATAATTTTAGTTGTAAACCACTGTTGTGCAGCACTGTTTGCCAAAAAAAGGACTTTTTCATTTTCATTTGATTTAAAATTTTAAAGGATTAATTAAATTGTTAATGTTTTATGCCTTCATTTGATTACAACCATTTAAATAATACATTTGTATTTGTATTAAATCATAAATCCAGAAAAATGAAAATGCACAACAGTTTTTTTCCAGAATGTTAAAGTTTTAAAGTTTCAGTTGATTTGGACATGCTTTTTGTGATTTATTAAAATTTAACTAAACCATTAAAATGGAATCCAGATGAATTAAAACTGAAGACCGAGAACTTTGGAAAAATAAAACGGAATTAAAAAATAACTTGAATCCATATGGATATAATAAATTGCAGAAACTCGTTTTCTTTTTTCTTCTCAGGTCTGATCATTCCTGCCAACTGCGTGTCGCCCCTGATCAACATCCTGTCGTCATCGGATCAGTCTCAGCAGCTGGCTGTGCAGCAGCAGCAAATGTGGCAGCAACTCCATCCGCAGAGCATCAGCCACACCGTCAACACATAGCGTGACACGAACACCCCTCACTTTCGGGCAGATGCAGGCATCGTAAGCCAGCCAGCCACCCTTCCTCTCCCGGCACGCCGTGAGGAAGACAGTGCTTGTGTCGTATTTAATATTTCAGGGTTCGTGTCCAAAGAGGACTCATTGCCAAAGCAGCTAAAGAATCAGAGCTCTGTGCGTCAGGAAACAGCACTGAGAGGGGAGAAACTGGACGATATTTGGTCAGTCTGTTGCCTTTTCACAACCTCCAGTCTGCTAAATCATGGCCTGTGCTTTCCATCGACATGAGTGGCTTTATGAAGTCACATACACTACTTTGTACACAGGACAGCGCTCAGGGTTACTCACAATCTATTTTCTTTTCCATTTCTATTTTTTCGTCTCGCACGGCCTCCATCTGTCCCCACCTTCAGCCTTCTGACCCAGCATGTCTTGGGCATGACGCTGCTTGTTTACCACTTAATACAGAACCTGATTTAAAAGCAGGAATGCGCTGGCTTAACGATGGGTGTAAGAGGTGCAAACCCAACCCTAAAGACTTTATCGAGACGTTGCATGGTTTGACGAACCCTTTGGATTTTTAGTTTACGGAAGCGGGTCAGCAGGTTTTCACTGCTTTCCAGCGTTTCAGTTTGAGTGTGATTTGTAAACTGGAGTGTCCTCTACAAAAGGCCACATCAATCAATACTTTTGCTCAATTTTTCTATTTCTTGCTTTTAATAATTTGCCGTCACTCTTGTTATTGGGGACAAAGAGCTCCCGAACCTCATTTCTGCTGTAAATGCTGGACTTTGACACACGCTCGGTCTCTCTACTATATCTCGATGTATAGTTGCATATCTCAAATGTCATGTTTTTGCTGAATTGTAGATTGTCATTCATCCTTGCACGAGTTGCACTACTGATGGATCTGTTGTACAAAGAATCTATGGAAAAATTTAACTGACTGCAAGATCTCTACTCTTGCATTTGACCAATAAATCTTGTGGATTACCTGGATTTCAAAATGTCTTCACTTCAAGGAACCACTTTTTTCTATTCATAATGTGTATTTAACTTTATTTTTCAGCGTGGTACGGTTTGAACAAGAAGGAAACTGTAGTAGGTACACCTGAAGTCTTTTATTTTCAGTATTTGGTGCATTTCGAAGTAAAAGTATAAATAATTCTCAAAGTCGGATGAGTTTCATAAAATAACATTTATTTCAGTGTACAGATTATTTCAGTATAAATTATGTACAAAGCTTTAAAATAATAATCCACCTTAAATCTAATTAAACATGATTTGTTCTCGACTCAACTCTTTTGGAATCTTATCATCTTAGCTTGATTTAAATATTTAGTTCCAAAATTGCAAATGTTACATCTTGGAAAAATTTAAATAAAAAAATGAATCCGATTATGTTTCATTGCAAAAAAAATATTTTTCTTTTTCTTTCCAACTTTTTTTTTTTTTTTGAAGTAAAAGTGTATTTTTCTAAAAAGAAAAGAAAAAAACCTTACAAGTAAAATCTATTAAAAAGATTTAAATCCTCGTGATAACTAGCAGTATTTATTTTTTTTAATTAATGATTTTGTAACTTCTCCAGTTGTCACTGTGATGATGGACAACGCTGGTTATTTTTTTTTATTAATTCGGTGTTAATTGTCTGAGTTCTTTGTGATGATGATGGACAGCAGTGTGGGTGTCATGAGGAGTGACGCGGCCATATTTGCCGGTGCTCCGCTGTAAACAAAAAGTGTCTGTGAGACGGACGCTCCGCTGATTTTAGGGACAATTTTATTTCTCTCATTTATTATCTCTTCAGGTATGTCTTACAAACCCAATCTCCACCAACACCTTCCGGGAACTTCTGGGAACCAAGGTATGCCGAAAAAGCGTGGAAAACTCTTCGTCTTGAGTGCATTTGGTCGAATGCAAGAATTAGCGTGAGAAAGAATACCTGGGGAAAAGCCGTGTGTAGTTTTTGTCCAGTCTGATCGCTACAGGGTCAGATCCTTCACATCCGCCATTATTACTAGTGCAAAAAACGCATTCCTCGCCTTCGCTAGGGCTAAATATCGGCGTGAGGTACATGTTCGGGTTCTTCCCGAAGGGTCCGCGTCGCGCCGTGGCCGGATGGGTTTGCGTGGAGGCCGCTAGATTGTGATAAAAATGAATCCTTTTAGCGGCTAAGATCAAGCCCGTGCCGTTTCCTCCATGATTGTCTCTCGGGCTGTTGATTGATCGGATTCAGACGTGCAGTTTTTTTATTGCTCTTTGGGGACACCTAGTGGCCGATGGTGGTATTGCATAGAACGAAGGCCGGGGCTAGTTGTCACAATGGTTATATCACAGTTACTGCGAGGCTTTGAGACAAAAGATCAGTTACACAAATGCACGTCTATCTTGAAATAATGTCATATGTGTTTATGTAAATTATAAGTTGTTGTTTCGTACAGTTAATGATGTGTTTTGTTGTTTTAACAAGGAAACATTCCCTCTCCATCTTCCATGGTAACAATACATTCATACAAGCCGATGCTAAATGACTTTGGGCCGCCTTCGTTGGGATTCCTACAGGTAGGTTTCATGTTCCTATAACACTAAAACAAAAAATTGTTACTTGAAATTAAATATAAAAATACCTTAAACATATTTTATTTCAGCTTGTTGCCAAGGCAAAGTTTCTCGTTTTCATTTAGATTAACTTGATGTACTAAAATAACAAAAACTAAAACTGAAATAAAGACTATCTAATAAACCCCCAAAAATGCACAACGAAATGACTAAAACTTTAAATTACCATGAAAACAGAAAATATTAAAAGTAAAAATTAACATTTAAAATATTAAGTTATTTTAATGGAAGTTATATTTATTTAAAATGAAAACAAAAACTATATAGACATAAAAAAAAAAAACTAATAAAAATAAAGAAACAAAATACTAAAACTTAAACTAAAATTAAAATGAAAACAGAAAACATTAAAAGTAAAAACACTCAACATTAATTAAAACTCTTCATTTAGTCTAACTTGATGTGAAAAAATAACAAAAACTAAAATTGAAATAAAAACTATAAAGACATTTAGAAAAAGCAAACTGATAAAAATGACTGTTACTAAAACTTTAGCTAAAATAAGAATGAAAACGGAAAATATAAAAGTAAAAACAAATTCAAAATATTAATTAAAAAAATTACATTGTTTAACTTGATATACTAAAATAACTAAAACTATATAAAAACTACATAGACTTATTAAATGACAAAAACACAACAAAATTACTAAAACCTTAACTAAAATTAAAAATTAAATGGAAAACAAAAGTAAAAACGAATTCAAAAATATGAATAAAACTATATTCGTTTAGTTTAACTTGATGTACTAAAACAACAAAACCTAAAATATAAATAAAAAACTATAGACATATAAAAAAAAAATAATAATAATAAAAATGAGAAAAATACAACAAAATTACAAAACTAAGTAAATTTAAAATGAAAATGGAAACTATTAAAAGTAAAAACTAATTCGAAATATTAATAAAAGCTATAATAGTCTCTGATACTAAAATAACAGGTTTGATACTCTTAATTTTTTACACTTTAAAACCCATTCTATCCTAACAAAAAGTTTATTAAAAATGTTTCTCTGTCTCACGCTCTCTCTTATATCATGTTTAGGGTCCAAATGGGAACCAAGTACCTCAGAGTAAATATGCTGAACTCCTCGCCATCATTGAAGAACTTGGGAAAGAAATAAGGCCAACATATGCAGGGAGTAAAAGTGCCATGGAGCGACTTAAAAGAGGTTTGTGGACATGATCAAAGACAAAATATATAAATCTGCTTCTTAATATCATTGTTTAATCAAATGCACTCATGGGGAAGTCGTGGCCTAACGGTTAGAGAGTCGGACTCGTACCCCAAAGGTTGCGGGTTCGAGTCTCGTACAGGCAGGGATTGTGGCTGGGGGGAGTGAATGTACAGCGCTCTCTCCCACCTTCAATACCACGACTGAGGTGCCCTTGAGCAAGGCACCGAACCCCCAACTGCTCCCCGGGCGCCACAGCATAAATGGCTGCCCACTGCTCCGGGTGTGTGTTCACAGTGTGTGTGTGTTCACTGCTGTGTGTGTGCACTTTGGATGGGTTAAATGCAGAGCACTAATTCCAAGTATGGGTCACATGTCATGTCACTTTCACTTAAACTCAAATATTGTGTCATGGAAACTGATTTTTTTTAATGGTTTTTGTGTTTTTTTGTAGGGATCATTCATGCCAGAGGGCTTGTTCGGGAGTGTCTGGCAGAGACAGAGAGAAACGCCAGATCCTAGCGCCTCCTTCACTATTCTCTCCATACGGCTGAAAGAACTGTGTCACACGGGAATCATGCATGCCTGTCCTTTGAGGGGATAAAACAATCAAAAAATGGAGCAGTTATGTTACGAGTTTTGCTTTTCATCTGCGGTTTGGAGGGAATAAGGCACCATTCAGAGAATATATCTTCTGATTTACAAATGCAAGAGATCCGGAACTGTTGCCATTTGAGGGTTTTTATATATTTCATTTTCTTTGACCACATAGTATCTTTAAGAACAAATGAGCAAAAATGCATGCAACCGGATGAAAGGTCCCACATTAGAATCTGCATGGCTTTTACAGGTTAGACTAGGTTTGTGCTTTTAGAAATAGGTCTCAGGATAAGGTATAAAGTATTTTTTTCTTTGGACGCACTAATGGATAGGCGAGTTTTCTTTTAATCTGGGAGATACTGAAAAGTATTATAGTGATGCCATTACTTTCGTCTTTAATTGTATTTATTACCTTGTGTAATACAATGTATTTTCATGTAAAGACAAAAAAGGTCACTCTTTGGAATTTTGTATATCTGTCAATAAATATGACATTCATTGTGTATGAAGCACTTTTGTTTATTGTATCGCAATATTGATATCCTTACATGAATTTACCACAGTAACAATATTTTCCACCAGAAAATCAGACTTGTACAGTCATTGTTAATACAGTAAAACTGGTGACCTGGTTTGATGAGCCATCAAAATGAAACACAAAATAAATACATACATAAAAAGATTCTTATATTTTTGAAGAAACCATTTTTATTCTTTATGAAACGGTGATTACCATGTTAATTATTTAAGGCTATATTGTGTAATAATAGCTTTGCATGTTTTAAAATAATGCCAGAATATAGTACATAACCGCAAATTAACTAATTGACTTTTGTAAATTGCTTATTGCCTTGTGAATTCACTTTTAACCCCAAGTAAAAAAAAAAGAAGAAATTATAAGATTTATATTTATAACAATTATAATTTTAAGAAGATTAAGCATGTTTTAGGTCCACAGGAAATGGTTTTACTAAATTCACAGTATTGTAATGTATGGTGTAGTTTCTGAGTGTTTTAAAAAAAAATTATAATCATTCTCAAAAAGTGATTTTCATGAATGCAATAATGCAGTAATTTATATTGTATTAGTGCAATACAAAATCATACATATTACTATATTGTTTAATGTTTTTTTTTTACATTATGCTAATGGAATTTTTGGGTTAAAAAATAATACTTATTACATTTGGTCCCCAAATACTTAATTTATTTTAAGGAAAATATATCTTTCATTATTTTTTTTTCGTTTTTTTTTTTTCATTTACATTTTCATCTTTCATTTATTTCTTTTAATTTATTTCTAAAACTGAAATACAACCCAGGCATTTCCTTTTATTATTATTATTATTATTAACTTTTTTTATTCATGTTTTTTTTCCCCTAAAAATATCTCATCGACTTCGTGCACACAAGCCGACTGCGGCGGGGTTACAGTAAAGAGAGCCAATCAGAACCACTGGTGTGCCTTTAAAATGCGCAGAATCCTGAGAAGGAACCAATCACAGAGCCTTAAGTGACGTTGACTATTTGCGCTGGCCAATCAAGTGACGCCTTTCGAACTCATTCGACCAATGGCGTTTCGCGGCGCAGTGTGTCGTCG